TCGGCTGTCAAACCGATATCAGGATGTGTTCGCACTGCTTGTTCCCAGTTGTTGTGACAAATCTGGAACAATTTGTTATCACCTTGTCACAACAGTAACAGACTTGCTAGTAGTTGTTCCAACGAAACTAATACAGGCTGTTGCTATACGAACTTGTTATCGACTTGTATCAGTCTTGTTGGAACAACTTCAGTTCTGAGTCTGTTGGCCTCATCAACCTTGTTACAAGATGATAACATGCTAGCTTTTGATCAAATGCATTTGTCATATTAAATTTGTCAAATAAAATTTGCTCGTGTAAACGGGGCTTAACAACTTGTTCCAGACTTGTCAAAAACTGGGAACAAGCCGTGCGACCATGCACATCTTATTGACAAGCTGTTAGATTTTTACGCGTGTAATATTTAATAATTTCGTTCTTATAAGAGCATTAATTGTAGAGAATTATGAATAAATGTGATTATATTCATCTGAACTTTGTTTGAATGTACAAGCAGTTTTAGGGCCCGTATATTAGGGTATATACACTTGCAATTTTTGCTGCGATTTGCCGATTTCTAGTCGATTGTTCTGATGCATAGTTACACGATATACCGGATTCGCTTGTCACAACATCAAATTTATAATAACTGTTTCCAGGAAACGCTCAAAGCCATTTCCACTCAGAACATTTTCCGAAAATATCATTGTTAAAAGTTTGTGCTAAAAAGTCAACTTTGATGAAATTTAATTTCATCACTGATTGACCCCAACACTAATAAATTAAAATGAAAGAACATTTTTCTTTGAATGCCTTTGTCTTTGATCGATCATGCAATTTTTCAGCCTCGGTGATATTGCCGAATGAATAAATACCAGCATATTATCGCTTTGTTTCTCGCAAAACCAACTTAACGTGGAATGTTATTTAAATTTGTCCGCATTGAAAGAACTCTTAGACTGTCGAATAACTCTTCCATAATTTTCATATTTTTTCTTTGTTTAGGAATAGTTTTCTTTATATTGTAAGTTTTCTTTATGTACTATTTGGCTTCAAAAACGTTTGCATAATAAGTCAAATCTGAATATGAAAAATCTTTATATAAAAATCTTTATATAAAAATCTTTATATAAAAATCTTTATATAGTTTGCATAACAATGTCTTTTGTTAAAGTGTTCTTTAGCTGGTATAAAGACGTATGCACGTGACTAATTTCTTACTCAAGATTGGATAATTGCTTCATGAATTATTAATGAGTTTTTGAAATTGTATAAACAAAACTTTCTGCATACAAATATATTGGTCACGGCCATTAAAATCATCAATATAAGAAGATGTACGTATATGTGCATTGGTGGAGGTGGGTGGTAAAATAAAACGTGTGTTTTGAAGTCCTACGGTGGCGGAACTAGAAAGTCTAGAAAGTATACCAATTATGACCATATAAGATATCTATGATTATGACATGATACCAAAGTTACTGGACTCTTTCCAGAAAATGCGGAAATGCTTGTGCTAGCTACAATGACAATGGCCTTCGCATCCAAATATTGCTAATTGTGAAAACACAACTACACCATGTATTCGTTTCACTTTCATAACTCGTTTCGAAAAAGTTCATCAACTCTGCATGCATGGCCAGTACCAAGTGTAGCTGCGACTGTGTTCGATCTAAATAAGAAATGTTGGCGGGATCACACTATCAAAGTTTCTGTGATCACAGACACAATAAATACCAGCATATTATCCACAGCGAAATTCTAAGTTTCGATGCATTTGTAAGAAATGTTTGAGGGGACTGATTCAGTGTTCAACACAAGTCAGTTTCACTCAAACATCTCTTACAAATCCTTCAAAACTTAGAATTTACCGATGCAAAATTCCTACTGTGATCACAGAAACTTTGATAGTGTAAACCAGGTTTTATTACTAGTGCAGGCAGTAGTGGTCAAACGTGAACATATGATTTGCTTCGCCCTTATAAGAAAACGTACGTCTATAGTTTTATTTAGTTCCATTGTTATAATACACCATTCCCAAAACCGGTTGTTCACTTGTTAATACTGAAAGATCTTTGATTTCGCCTGTCGAGTCCTCCCCGGTGAACACGGGACCGACCTGGCACCTGGGAGTTTCCAAACTTTCCATGCAAACAAAGGGAAACGGATGACTTTGCTTACGCCGGTTACACGTCCGGTGTTCTTGAGAACATTGTCTGTCAGCTAGTCTGTGACGTTTGTTAGTTGTCTGAGAGGACCAATATGCATGTAAATATCAAATACGGATGATTATGATTTTATATTGACCAGGACTTGTTGTAAGAAGTTTGGAACAAGCTGTTAACAACTTGTAACAGGCTTGATGGCATCTATCAAACTTGTAACAAGGTTGTTCTAACAAGTCTGATACAGTCCTGATATAACAAGAAAGTTACAAGGTTGACGACACAAGGTTGTAACAATATTGTTATATCTTCACTGTATCGGACTTGTTGGAACAACCTTGTGACAAGTCTGAAAATATCAACAAGGTTGTTACAAGTTGTTGACAGCTTGTTCCAAACTTGTTGACAACTTGGGACAAGCACACAACTTGTTGACGGCTTGTTGGCAGACTTCCTTGACAAGATGTGAGATTTTTCCGTTTGTAGTTCAATGTTGTATTCAGAATGACAACGTTGACGAGGATACCCCAGCTGGGACCACAATTATTGAAAAAAATTTATTTGCATGAATAATTTCTTTGTTTCGAAAGCGTGTCTTTCATTTCGCGTCGTGTTTTCTATATCATTGTTGAGGTAATTAATACTGGAGATTTAGAAAGAGATAGTACCAAGAAAGCAGCCTTAAATTTGTTAAAGAAAACAAGAGTGTACAGACGTCTAGGCTAAGATAAAGGGTTGCCGGTGGTGTACTGTAGACCGCCTGTTGTGCACGCCAACCCCCTCACGTGAATTTATAGCCAACTGTCAACTCATTTCCATGTGTTACCATGGTGGAAATTATATGCAATTTTAATTTGTTTTAACCAATGATACGCGAAGGCAAGCACCAAATATAATGTAAATAGACAAGGCAGCACTGGATTATTCAAACTTCGAGAAGGTTTAATATACTTTGCAGGAAGTGCAAAATTCTCCGGGAAACGAGTTATATCAAACAAAGATGGTGGTTTAAACTGCCGTCTGAAAGAAATTATGATTACAATTAGCCTTTGAAATATAGTCTTGAAGCGTTGGCGTAAGTCGTTTTACTTTTCTCTGCAACGATTTAATATACTTTCGAAGGAAGACATACATTAACAATGTCAAAGTTCAAAGGTAGCAAAAAGCGCGATTTGAAGCATCAGGAATCGAGTAGTTCAATGACTGTTGACAAAATTATAGCCAAAATGGAAGATGGCATGACAATGACAAGGTTTTATCCGACTGGTAAACGAAAGCCGGAAAATCGAGTCTATTATGTGAACGTTGCAAGAATGATATTCTACTGGACAAGACCTGATCGCCATGATCGCCCTGTAGAGGGTTCAGGTATTTACATGTTTAAACGTTTTAAGATAAAAAAGTCCTAGAATTTGAACATGATAAATTGCCTAATCGAATCCCTAAATGAACTCGCTGTAATCTCAAATACAACTAACATACTGCACTTGAGAAGTATGGAGATACAATGCTCAAATTATAAACGGCAATATTTGTTTATAATGCCTTATTTAGCCGGGCATAGTACAGGAATACACAACCTCTGAAGCTATAAATTGCTACTTTCCGAGGTCAATTGCTACATTTTATGGTTTAGTGAATAGTTTTGGCTTATATATGTGGCTAATCCTGAATTAATGCTAATATTCTTACTTATGACCATTGACATTGTACTTTCCACTGTTTGGATCACAAATTCTAATGCATGCAAATGCTCTTTGGAATTTTGGTATTTTGCAATACCCTGAGTTTGGTCTAAAATTCGTTGTTTTTGTTAAACTGAGCAAGCAGGGGACTGCAGAGGTCATCAGCTTTTCACATGAGCCTGGCTTAGCTAGTCGGGATGAATCATGTCACAAACATTTTTCCCTCACCATGAAAGGTCATTTGAATAAACTTCATGCTGTCACTGGAATCCAACTATGCCAATTCAACTTTGAAATATCATTTTGGTGTTTATCAATGTTGTGATAAGAGCTTTATTATAAATGAATCATCCCAGTAAACTAGACCAGCCCAGCTCCTTAACACTTACAGTGCTTTAGTCAGAATGAAGTACAAAGTCCACTTTGATGTATGTGGGTGGGTGTGGAAGTTGGAAAGTCTGGAGAATAATCCCTCCCAAATAGGGAATATTCAAGTACACTACAGATATTAGCCATTAACACCCAACACTTTTCTCACATCTAGTTCCCTGCCTGTAGGTTTTATTTATGCGGAGGTAGCCAAGAAATATAATTGTAGTTGCTAGTCAGTAATTCCAGGTTTAGATACTAGCTATCTCCACTGCCTTTCCTTTCCATGATTTGTGGATCGAGTTGGCCTGTTAAACGTCAGGATCCAGGGTGCATTCCATGTAAACTCTACACCGGAGATACGCCAACATGTACGATCCTTTACGCCAATACATCGGAGATTTTCAATTTGGGGGACTTAAATCCATGTTTTGAAAATAGCAAATATGATGTGTTTTTAATATGTACTGCATCATGTCAACATCATATTTGTGTAGTTATACTGTCAATTTACATGTGGCCATGAAATCAGGCACAAACTAATCACTTGTTTTCGAGTGATCTCACGCCATTACGCCAACAATTTTGTAACATCACACCGGATATATCTGGCGTGGAGTGCATGGAATACATTTTGAATTTTGAGTATCTAGTTACACACATAAAAATACACAAGTTGTTACAGGTTTGCAAACAAGTTGTCACAAATCTGTTCACCAGTTGTGTTCACACTGCTTTCTCCCAGTTGTTGTAACAAGTTTGTAACAAGCTGTTAGCAACTTGTAACAAGCTTGATGGCATTATCAGACTTGTTACAAGGTTGTTCTAGCAAGTCCGATACAGTCATGATATAACAAGAATGTTACAAGTTTGATGACACATTAGGTTGTAACAATATTGTTATATCATATGACTGTATATGGAACACCCTTGTAACAAGTCTGATAATATCAACAAGTTGTTAACAGTTTGTTCCAAACTTGTTGACAACTAAGGACAAGTAGTGCAAATGCAACATGTTGACGACTTGTTGGCTGACCTGCTTCAAGATGTGAGATTTCTGCGCATGTAGATTATGGAAGTAGGCTGCTTTACTCAATCATAATTACTCAACACGTCCCAGTTTGACAAGTTAATTTTTCTGACCAGTCTTCAACTGAATAAAATAATGAAGTATGTTGCATTATGGAATTTTGTGACAAGAAATGATCCAGACTTTCCCTACAGAGGATGTTTAAGCCCCTTTAAACTAAGCTTTCGATCAAGTTTATTAATATTTAATTATATGTAGTCTTATGATTGATTATAAATTCACCAAATTAATTTCATTTTTTATTAAATATATAAAATAATATTGTAAGTGATACAAATGTTGGAAAAGTATTGAATAAGTGTTTGGTTAGGTAAGTTATGTAAAATGTAACACCATTGACTTGTTGTACCCAAGAATTGTCCTGCCCTTGAATTATAACCCTTTGAGCAGCCGCAATCTCCCCCTGACGAGTAAAGTTGCAAGGTATTAGACAGAGTAAGATAATAAAGTAGGGCATATCATGACACAATGCAGCTTAATGGCTAATTATCTTTCAAGATCATATAATTGCAACAGAGTAAACATTACATTTTTCGGTTGTCAGGATGAATTTTATTTTGTTTTATGTTTGTTTCATCATTTCATTTGCTTTAAACGAATATCCAGTCAGGACAATACTGCATAACTGTTACATATTAAATAGTCATAGGTGGGTGTAGGGTGGGGTGTAAGAGGTGCCTACACCGCACCATTTTTAGACCGCAGGTAATAGTGGTGTGCACCCTACAGGTGAACTTATTGCCCCCTCTCAGAGTGTACATACCCCTGCCAGATCTTAATCTTGCTCTGGGTAGATGGTGGAAGAGTTGTGCCCCCCTGATGAACCTAAGTCCATCCTTGGGTAGAAGAGGTGTGCCCCCCTACGCCCTACCAAATGAACCTTAGTCCATCCTTGATTATAGAGTAGAAGAGATGTGCACACCCCCTGCCAAATGAACCTAAGTCTATCCTTGATTATCGCGTAGAAGACGTGTGCACCCCCCTGCCAAATAAACCTAAGTCCATCCTTGAGTAGAGAGTAAAGAAGGTGTGCACCTGCCTGCCAGATGAACCTAAGTCCATCTCAGGGTAAAAGAGGAATGCACACACCCGTGCTGGATGGGTTTAAATTTTCCTGGATAAATAGTCCAAGAGAGAATTAACTTAAGTCCAATTCCTATGTGGTGGGCAAAAATAGTGTGGACCCCTACCAGGTATATGTCAACCCTTGGGTAGAGGTTAGAAGATGTGTGAACCTCTTTCCAGATGTGTTTTACCACCCCCAACACTGATGATTTAATTTATGTTTCACCATACTGTACATTAATTATTGACGATACTCTTCCTTTGCAGTAAAAATTCGTGAGGTCAAAGTAATTCGTAAGAGCAATTTTTCTAAAGATTTTGAAAAGAACGTTGATTATTTGAAAAAAGTTGATTCAAATTGCTGTCTGGTGATTTTGTATGGGACAACATTTAACCTCAAAAGTCTCAGTTGCATTGGTAGGTGAACTAGATGTTGTTATAGACAGGGTGTCCACGGGCCTTGAAAACCCTGGAAAGTCATTGAACTGGAAAAACAAAAATCCAGGACTGGAAAGTCCTTGAAAATCAGTTGAAGTCCTTGAAAGTCCTGGAATTAATTTCCTTAACCTCCAGCTGTGCAAACCAGGCCTCGAATTTCCCTGAAATCAATCGACGGCAATGGCGTTAAAAATTGCCGCAGAACGTAACAGCTGTCTACGGCAATTTTGGCAGTTTCCACGGCATTTTTCAAATTACTGTAATAAAACTTTAATTTTATTGTTACTTTGGGTTTTTGACAAGCTAGAAACATGTCTACGTATTTCTTTAGTGTTTTTTTTTCGAAGAAAACTGAGACTAAAATAGTGATTTACGCATGATTAGATCAACATCTGAATTCAAGTTTCAAAGTAGTAATGCACAGTGAATAGTAGAAAAATTGCACTATACGGCAAAAAATTGCCGTCGTTGCCGGAATGATCCACGGCATTTTGTTCTCCCTCTACGGCAATTGCCGCGATTGCCGCGATAAAATTCGAGCCCTGGTGCAAACATTAGTGATTTTGATTGAAATTACTGAATGAAATGAATTATTTATGGAAATCCGTGCCATTTTCAAACATTTTTCCCAGTTCTAGGTCCTTGAATTTACTGAAAATGGGACTTGAATGTGCTGAAAAAGTCAACCTTTAATTTCACCTTCACCAAAGGGTGGACACCCTGAATAGAGTCTCGCAGATGGTTTTGACCAGGATTATAGATAGCTTTGTCAGTTGTAAACGTGTACTGTTCTTCTTGAGGTGCAGTAAGAGCCACCCATCATGGGTGGATTTACTGGGGGATTAGGAGGGGTTAACCCCTCCCCTAGAATCCCTTATTTCTCCCCTAGAATTCATATAAAGTGTTCAACCCCGCCAAAATGTCGCTTCACCCCTCCTATTTTGTGTGAAAGTCTTTAACCCTAACGCCTAAACCCTTGCCGGGAGGGGGAGATGGATTTTCGCAACGAAATTAATGCATGAAGCGTGTCATTATTTATGAACGGTTTTAACGAACTTTGGCTGCGGTAACGTACATGTTATGTTTGAAATTATCATTAAAATATTGAAACGAGTGACATCACCTTTACTTGGTCGACGGACATTATGACATCATTATAGAATCGGTATCTGGTAGATTGTTGAATGAATAATCGGTAATCAGTAATTTCCGATTGTGGCACAATCGGTCAATCACCAGGGTAGACGGCCAGCCAGCCGATCAAAATATGACTGTCGATGGCAATTTTTGTTACAAGCAAACAACAAGCGTTTTCTTATAGCTTAGACACTGATGAGTCACGTTTGATATGTTGCCACCTCTGATTTTAACGAACGAAGAGAAAATTTTAACATTTGAAAAGTTTGCCTATTAAATTATTATACTCCCGAAAAAATGTGAAATTTGAATTTCACTTAAAGTAGCATCGTTTATATTGTTAGAAAGAGCATAAAAAAGTACATATAAGACATTTAAACGAGTAATACGATTTATTTAGTCAAATTCGAGTTATGGACACTTAAAAAGAGGTAAAATGCGGTGAATGACGTCACAAAACCTTTTTTTAGCAACTTTTAGCGCCCGTAACTCAAAACAGGGTTATAAATTCACACTTCTCACTTAAATGTTCTATATCTACTTTTTTCCGAACTTTCTGATTATATACGTGATTTTTGGTGAAAGTTGGTTTCAAATTTCACAATTTAGTGAGTATAGTAATTTTAATAGGCAAAATTTTCAGATTCTCAAAATTTTTCACTTTGAAGTCAATATCAGAGGTGGCAACCTATCAAACGTTGTTCTCCAGTGTCTAAGCTATACGAAAACACCAGTTGCCAGCTTGTAACAAAAAATGCCATCAATGACATTTTAGAGACACTTTTATTGAGGTTGGCTGGCCGTCTAGGGGGAAATATTCAGCAATAATCTATCAATCTATAAATACCTATCGATTCTATTCCTAGCTCAAACGGCGCAAGAATGCAGTTATTGGGTAGAAGGTTTGACTCACTTGATGAATAAAAACGTTCCACATCCCACCGTTGTAAGCAGGTGAGCTGAGTGTCGGCATAGTCATAGACTGTTGCATGCGCGGGTAATGATAGTATCATACGATTGCCGAATTAATCTTTTTTGTTTTCAACTATAGATGGCTTCAAATGGAATGGAATATGCTTGTGCCAATTAAACAGAATGGGTAAAAGTGATATTTATCACCTACACAATCAAGAAGCTATAATGGGTGGACCAAGGGGGAATAAAAATAAAAGGAAAACAAAAGAAAAAATCGTGCAAAGACAACAGGAAAGAGAACTGCTTTTAACATTCGGCAGGAAAATCCAGCACAAGCAGGCCAAAA